ACAACAGGAGAACATTTTCTCTTCTAGAGGAGAATTCTCTTTAAGCTGTCGAAGGACTGGAGCCCTTACACAGTGGGCTTTGGACATGGCTGGTGGTCACAGCACACTTGGCTTCAAAATGCGACGTGCTGAGTGAAATAAGAAGCACTTTGTACCCTGTTGGTCGAAGATTGTGGTTCAGACAGGAATCAACCTTTGAGGGGAAAAAAAAAAAAACCCAACAAAACAAATGCCTGAAGACAGAGCACTTTAGTTTAGTGCTTCTTGGCCTTTATCTTAGTCCAACTCATTTAAAGATGTGTGTCTGTCCCAGGCTTGAGCAGTGGTGTACGGAGGGGTGGCAGGGAGAGGGTTTATCTGCAGATGAGAGGTGGCTGGTGGGATGTACAGGTAGAGAGAGGAGGGAGACAGGGAGAGATGGACTCAGAGGTGGGTCAGAGACGAGACAGAGAAGAGTGGAGACTAGTTTGATTTATGAGAATTTTGCTCAGTTTAATTGTACTTTGCTAAAACAACATTGTTAGCTTATAATTGTGTTGCAATTAGTAATTATACCCAATTTTTTCTCTTGAGGACTGGAAGGTTCCAGAGTTAGTAGGTTACTGTGGAATTCGTTCAGTGTGGATATTAATATGTGCACCTTGTGAGGACACGTCGCTACTTAAGTCCAAGAGGACACTTGGCTTCTGTTTGCTTCCCCATTTCCCCCACCACATCATATCCTTCTCTTGTTTCTCATCTCTCCCCAGTCTTTTCTCTCTCAGTAAACTACTTAAGGGATGGGTATAATTAATACCTGAAAGTTGTCAAAGGCAGTCACTAGAGGTAAATTACCAGCTGTGAAGTGGATCAACCTGGGCCAGACAATCTATGAGAAGAACATCATGGTTCTTTTTCAAGAAAAGCAGTGAAATTGGACTGTGTGGTGGTGCTTATGAGGCTGTGCTCTTTTGTTATGTTAATTATCACACAAATTGTAGTCTGAGAGCTCCCTGCCTTCAATGTCTGGTAACTAACAAGATGAATTGGACACATGTGCTTGCTCTGGAGCCCAGGGGTGGCTGGTGACCTCTTCGTTGTTGTCTTCATGTCAGAGCCAGGAGTCGCAGAGGCCTTCCTGGAAGGGGTTGTGGTAGCTCCCCCAATGGCTGGCTGGCTGCCAGTGTTGGTATGACTAGAGCTTTGGGACTTTGGTGTGGGTGGAAGCCATATTTTCTGTGGCACCAGTGGAGCAGGAAAGGGCAGGGAGAGAAGGGGTGTTCCAGCAGAAGAGACGGGCAGAGAGTTGTTACAGGTCAATTTTCCTGGATAGTGGGATCAGGCCCATTGTTGGTGACAGGGGCAAGGGCAAGTCTTTCTGGAGCACCCAAATGATACACTGTGCCTGGCCTTGCTTTTTAGGTAGTTATTGGAGAACTGGTGGGTGGGCATGTGGACAGACGTGCACCCCACAAACTTGAGATATAATCTGAATGTAGAGAAATGTGTTTAGAGGAATTTTTGCTGAGTCAGACTGTGGTGATGTCCAAAAGGGGAGGATGAAATGTGAAAGGGCTTCCTTCACTGCTAGGAGGAGGCGAGACCGGGAAGAGGGGGTGGGACCAGGGAGGGCAACTATAACCTAGTGTCTTGAGGTCTGCTTGCCCTTGTTCCAGGCCTCTGTGTCTCAGGTCTTAGCGACAAAGGTATTTGAGTCCAGAGAGGCAATCAGCACAAGGGCAAGCTTGGTTGCAGTACCTCTGGCTAGGATAGGCAGCTGCGCCCTAGGAAAGCAGACCCTCTGTCCCTTCACCTCATGCGTCCCAAAGTTGCCCTCGAGTTCGACTTGAGGCAGCTGTGCTTTGCTGTCCTCCACTGCCCAAATCCTACTCTTCAATAGGAGCCAGTGGGCTGGATGGCTGGAGGTGACTTTTCCAGGGCAGGCCCTCCTCTGCTGCCCCCTGGTGCTCTGGCTTCTAAGAGTAGCTTTCTGCCCAGCACATGGCATCTTGGAAAAAGCAACCTTGTTTGGTACTGGTCAAGCTTCTACCAGCTGCTCTAGGCTGCATGCAGAGGTCCGTCTGGAAAGGACCTCAAACGCCTGAAGCAGCCTCCATTCTTATCTAGCAGGTCATGCTCTGCCCTAGGCCCTTTGCACTCTTCTGGGAACAGTTTCCTGGAGAAATAGGAGCAGAGTTGCAGGCCACTACACTGGAACCTTCCTAGGATAGAATTGGATCCTTCCTACCTCCAAGCTAAAAAGGAGGCTGTGTAAGCCTTTCTAGAAATGGTGTCTTGGGTTTTCAGCCTGGAGAGGCAAGTCCTGGGGGAATTACTGGCCGTTGGGCAGCTGGCAATAGACGGCATCAGGACCTTTGGGTGTTCACTCAGGAGTGGCATCAGGGGACACTGGTTTCTCCAACAAAAGGCACCTGCAGTGGCAGTCACTTCTGCAGAGGATGCCTTGGAGCTCTCAGAGTGCCATCTCCTAATCTGGAGGCAGGAGCCCACTGTTCTGGGTTCCCAGCTACTCTCCCATCCCTGAGATTGGGAGATGGAGCTTGCATGGGCTGGGCAGCTTCCCAAGAGTGGTGGGGTCAGGGTGTGGGGGCTCTGTGGTCCAGGTATCTGTGGACAAGAGATCTGCTACACTGCAGGGCCCCAAATGACACCAGACCATATTCCCTGGGGCAAACAGTTACATCCATGCAAAAAATTTCCTTTCAAACCTTCAAGTTGGGCCGTTTGTAGGCAGAACCCTCATGGATCCAAGCCTATTTCTTTGCTTCAGCCACACAGTGTTGACAACTGGGTGAGTCCCTCATAGACCATTGTGTCTCCCCACCTCCACTCAGGCAGGTGGTATCCAGAATGGTGCCTGAGCCGCCTCCTGATAGGCAAGAGGTGGCCAAAAGGCAGGTGAGGGGCCTCATGTTCCAGAGGCAGAAACTAAGAATCCAAAGCAAATAGCCACAAGGCAGGGGAGAGCCAACTCAGAGCCAAAGGAGTAGAAAGACCATGATGAGTAGATAAGAAGGAGAGCAGGTTTTTATGTTTAGATCAAGGTTCAAAATACAAATGTCTGCAGAGCATGCGCCTTTGGAGGGAACCAGGTGCAAGGGGTATAGGGCCAAGTAATAGCTCAACCTTCTCCCGCCCATCCCTTCTGCTCTTTTTCTCCTTTGACTTAGAATTGAGTGAAAACATTTGATTGTGTTCTAAATGCAAAAGCCCTGTACAAGGTACTTGGAATTAGGGAAAGAAAAATATAAGGTGGTTTCTGCCTCAAGGAGCACACAGTCAAGTTCTTAGGCACCCTCAGCCACCTCTTTCTCTCTTTTATTCATTTAACTAGCATTTCCTGGGTTCCGACTACGGTCTTGAAAATTTTTACTTCTCTTGCTTTTTTACCTCTAACTCCTCTATCTTGGATCCCTTCCCTTTCTGCTTCTTAAAAATAGGCAACAAAGAGAAATTGGGGGGATTAGAAAGAAGAAAGAGACTTTAAGGGAAAATGTATGCTTAGGTGGCATACCTGGGTTTATTCTGTGACACTCAAATGCCATGTGTCCATATCACTTGCAGGTTGAATTGGGAAAGCCAGTGTCTCATTTCCTCTTGTAATGAATTTCTGCTGAGCGTTAGCCCCATCCCCATTTGCACAGGCTGTAGTTTTTTTTGTTTTACTGCTTTATGTCTCTAAATAAATTTAAACTGGTTGTGGGTCTTTCATCTACTTTGTAAATGAGTGTTAATCAGACAGTTAATCAGAGCAAAAGAGTGAATGAGAACCGGACCTCTCCACCCTCCCGCCTGACGCTTCCACCCTAGCCTCCTGCCCTCACCTCATCTGCTCCCGTACAAGCATCCATCATAAGACACTTTACCAATCAAGCCAAAGGCATGAGGTCTTCTATGATGGCAAGCACTTTGGAGGCTAATAAAGGAAAAAAGTCTCTGAGTTCCTAGGTACTCTTTCTATGTCTTATCTTGATTTTTAACTCCAAGTCTGTGATCCCTCATTTGTTTGCTTTCTTCTCACCTAAGATGAGACTAAAGAGACGTGTGAAGGATGGAGAGGGTAGAGAAAGGAGAGATGGAGGAGGGAGTTGTGTTACGGAGTTCCACAGTAAGGGTTGTGTCTAGCTATATTTTGTTCCCAAACATCTCCCCTCCTACCTGTTAGGAAGCTTAGAATTCCACCATCCCTTTGAATCTTAAAGGACTTTAAGAGTCTTTCATCTAAAAATATATTCCTAAAATGCAAATGTCCCTGGGAGGGGTAATACTTAGGTGACAGTTAATTTGAGGGGAGAGGGTCTCAATGGGCAGAGTCACCATGAAGGGGGAGAAAAAGAACCCCAAATCCAAACCTTACCTACTTAAGCAGTTGTATTGACTCCTGTCTCCTGGTTAATGCTATATGTGAGCACAGGGGAGAAGATAAAAGGCAGTTTTGTATCAAGCCCTCTCCTCCCAGCACATACACACCTGGACCTGAAGCAATGACAACAATAGTTCACACATGAAAACATCTGGCTGAAGGCTAGGATCACTTCAGATTTCCAACTTACCTTTTCCTAAGCGTAGCATTTTTCTCTTACTTTTCCTTTGGAAAAGACTAAAGTAGCTTTACAATTCCCTCATGTCTTTGTACTCTGAACTGCACTCAAGTATGTCCGGAACAGGTGTAAGTGTGTGCGTAAATCTATATTCCCAGCCCATGTCTAGGACCCCGATGCGGAGTCAAAGTTTCAGCGAGCCTCGCGACAATGTAATTCCTCCCAGGGAATCCGCGGCATTACTGTCTGTCCATGGGAGTGTACGCACAGAGCTTTTCTCCTCCTCACGGTCAGTTTTCTATTTGCGATTAGTAATTGGCTTCTCTTGGTACGTTACGATCTATTACAAAAGCCAAACGTTCAGAGGGCGAGCTGAAATGACAAAATTTGGTTATAATTTATGTTGGCCCCTGACATATATATTTTTTTAATGATTTGGTCTCTAAGCAACTGATCTCTTAGCAACAAGAAGCACCTTTATAAAAGATGGCACACACAGAGTGATTGCCAGAAAAGCCACCCGGTTCCTAAACAGCCGCGCATCATTAGCAAAACTCACCATCTTCAAGAGTCCAAAAAGTAGAAGTGACCAGCAGACCCAGGTAACCTTGATCTTTGCACATTTTCCTGAGGAAAAAGAAAAAAAGCTCATGCAACTATTGAAGAGAACAAAATTCTTTGAAATATGTTCATTTCTTGAGGTCTATTTGGTTGGTCTTGGCTAACTTTCCATAGAATGTATTCTCTTAAATAATTGCTTCCTGATTTTTTTTAAAAACACCTTGGACATGAATTTTGTGATCAGAAAATAATTCACTCAAAATATTTCATTGACCTGAGGATGGAAGGGGGAAACAATCTATCCTTTTCAGAGTTTATTTCTGCAGGTTTTCATTTGCAGGGAAAAAAATCCACAGTGGCAAAATAAGAATGTGCAGAATGTCACCCAGAGCGGTGTGCACTGCCAGGGGGAGAGGTGTATTTTAAACTGCTAAAATATTTAAAGAGCAGCAAAATTATTTTACTTCCAAACTTCAGCTTTTTAATTCAGTGTCAATTCCAGCAGCAAGCGATGGTCTTTTGTTGCACAAGTTTAAGGACTGATTTTTCTTATCTCTCTTTTATAGCACAAAAGCGTTTTTCTATTTGTTTTCACTGCTATAAGAAAAGATTCGTTCCGAAACTAAAAATAGGAGGAATTCCAGCCATCTGTACCTTGTTTGCTTTTTTCAGGCACCCAGGAGTTGAAGACTTAAATGTCTTTCCAGAAAATTGGAATTGGAGATGAGGAACAACAGTTTTTAATCCGTACCCCTTCAATTAAGACTGTGTAATTATAAACCCACTCGGGGTACTCAAAGTGCATAAAAAGGAGATGTCTTGTGAGAGGGAAATAAAAATCTCCCTAGTTGAGCTTGGAGACAACAGTATATAGAGATATCACAGATCTATGCAAACAAGACTTTAGAAAATTGCGGTTTCAATAAAGACAATTTGGGACGGTGATACTTAACTTTTGCTTTGTATAAGAATTGGGTGTGCCACTTATTTTTAAATTGAACTGCATGCTGACATCTTCTCGGAACCAGAAAATGGTATACTTCGTCTAAATACAGAGCTTGGCAACGGGTCAGGCAATTCAAAATCAGGACAATCCCAGAAAATTTGGGATTTGTGGTTGCTCTGCTAAGAAAAGGCTCCTTATCAGCAGAATATGATTATACTTGATTTAAAAAGCTGCTTGTGACTTGTATTTCTGTTACCACTACCAACTTCAAGCAGAAAGAATTCCTTCTTTTGATTGCTTTGCTTGGAAGTTAGCAACTTTGGTATTTTAAGTTGAATTGCAGAAACTTGTTTTTAAAGCAACGTACTATGAAAGCACAGAGAAATATACAGCCCTGTCCTTTAGGACCAAAGAATTTATGTACTTATATTGGTCATTATTGTAGAAAGATATTTTTGGCTTTAGGTTAAGGGACTTGGATAAATAACCATAAGGTATAACTTGTGTTGGCTGTGTCTGGCTGCATTTCCAGTTTTAAATATACCACAGTCTCCCAAATATGAAGGAGAATTAAAATAAGCAAAGACATGGTAACATTTGTATTGCAAGTGGCAGCTAAGTTTTTGCAGTGGTTCTTTAAGATTTTTCAAATCCAGTCACTATGTCCTTTGGGGTTCATGTCTTGTAAGTGTTGTCTATGCATAAAGAAACCAAGGGGTCTGACGGCACTGTAGAGCTTGTCATTTTGGCTGTCTTAATGAGCCATCTGACCACGATGGACAGACAATTGTAAGATTTGAGATATATAATGAAGTACTCCAAATAGACGGGCCACTGTAGACTAAGCCAACTCATTCTTCTGTTTTGGGATTGGTTACTTCTGAGACACACACACACACACACACACAAATGGCCTCAATGTAAATCATAAACTAGAAAATCAAAATGACCCTCTCCATTAGTGAGGGCTACCCGGGAAAAAGGATAGTTTGAATTTCATGAATGAGAGTTTCCATCATAATCCTTATTTGGTGTCTGAAAATCCTGGACAAAACTTGATGGCTCTTTTCCTTCAAACCTTAGGCTGGGATTGGGTTGGTGGGGGTGAGGGTGTGGAAGGGGGAGGAAATAGCTGGCAGATTCACTGCCAAACAGTCCTACTTTGTAGGCGATCTGTGCTGCAGACGGATCCATTTACTTTGGACACTTTAATACTTGAAATGATCAGGCAGAAACTTGATCAATTACTACCTGATTGGCCTTTTAACAGAAAAATTTTAACCCTCCTAAATAAGTCATGCTTAGGATTTTGTGTTTCTCTGGTGAGAGGGAAGCAAGAAAAAACTCCTCTGTCCCCACTATGGGCTAGACATTTTAAAATGTGCAGTTCTATGTAATCCTCACAACAGCTGTGCAAAGGCATCAGCATCTCCATTTTACACACGTGTAAACCAGGTTCAGCAGTTTGCCAAGATGTTACCTAAACAGTGAAGGGTAAAGTTGGGGTTTAAAGCCAGGGCCAGTCTGACTCCCCAGCCCATGTGCTTTCCTTGCATCACGATAGCACAAGCAACTATTTCAATCTGACATTCAAATAGTCCCTCTATTTGGATAAAAGCAAAAGCTCTGAGTAGTTGAGCTGGCTGTGGAGAGTCAGGCATCTTTTCACAGAAGAGACTCCTTAACTTCTGGTCCTATTGGCTAGAATGACTCAGATCCCACACTTTCAATGGCTGCCGCAGGCTATGAACTGGAGGTGGGCGCTTGGCTGGGCTGTGGCAGCAGTGGCCACAGGGCGTGTCGCCATTCCTCGCCATGATGCCCGTCCCAAGTGAAGTAGGGTAGGACTCTTTGAGGTACCCTTCCCGCGAGAACAGAGCCTGAGACAGGGCTCCCTGGGGGCATCCCCAGACCACAACAGTCAGAGACTGCACAGGTGAAGAGGAAGCCAAGCCAAGATCCGGAACAGGTCAAAGGACATGCTGCCAGGTTAAGGTGTCTGCGAAGAGAACCCAGGTGTGGCTGTAGCGGGGGTAGGTGGAATGATGCCACAGAAAGCATCCTTTCTCCCGAGGACGTCACTTCAAAGTTGCAGGACTGCAGCGCCCTGTCCCATCTGGTTCTAAAGCCTCTGGCTTGTGCTGTTGCCCCCTCTTCAAATATCCTTGACAAAGCGATCAGTCTTAGTTAATTTAACAAAACCTCCCTGAAACAGTATTCGAGTAGGAGAAGATTTGTAGGAGAGTGAGGGCCAGGGCTGCCATGACCAGCCCTGGAACAAAGCACTCTTCACATCCCCATTTTTCTTCATCCTTCCATCAATCGGCTCAGAGCCTTGAAGGGTCTTGCCCAAAGGCAGACAGTTTGTGTAAGTCGGACTCGAACTCAAGCCTTTTGACTGGAAACCCTGTGGCTCTTTCCAGCAACTGGAAAATATGATGGTATATAGGCACATACAGATACTAAGGTGTGATCTGGATCCAGAAACGTTCGGGGTTGGTGGTGATCTGCCTTGAACTTGGCATGATTATCAAGGGAATACCAGGGGCAGCTCTTTGTCTGCTACGCTTGAGTTGATCCCTGGAGGAAGGACTAACACTCCAACAGGTATAAGAGGCAACTTCCCATTTCTTTTTCCAGCCCTTCTCTGCTGAGGTATACCTATGGGTAATCCCTCCAACCATAAGTCAGAGAGCTGGAGGGCAGCTTCGGAAGCCTGAAAACAATGCATAGTAATAGGTTCTATTTTTGTACAAAAAATAATAATTATCTTTGTGCAAAAGTAACCAAGTGATCTGCATGGCTCTACTTCCCTAGGGTTCTTGTCACCAATCAGACATGCCCATCTTCTCTGAGTTCCTGCCTGGTGTGTGGGGCTAGGACATAGATGGTGAGTGCATAGATGCCACATACCTACCACGGCCAGCACAGACCAAGTCCCCCTTTCTATACAGTGCACAGAAAGTCTCCTCTCATCTGGCATCCCTGGGTAGAAGAAGAGGGCCACGTAACTCATTTCATTTCTTAAAAAGAATATCATTCTTAATTTGGGAGCTGACTTCGAGATTGCTTAGTTTAGACTTCTCATTTTGGAGGTGAGGGAACTGAGTGGAAGTGACTTGCCCAAGGTCTATGCAGCTAGTCAAGGCCAGGGATGGAGCTCAGTTCTTTTGACTCCCAGTCCAGTGCTCTTTCCGCTGTATCATAACAATTGTTAATACTAAGAAGAGGGTGACAGTGCAAACGATTACCCCTACTTTACAGATAGAAAAACTGAGGGCATAGTTCACTTTAGGGACAACCACCACTCCAAAAGTAGGAAAATTATTAAATCCTCTGAAAGTGATTTACCAGCTGCTCAGGATAATAATTTTCATTCTCCCTGCTGGATACAAATATGCAGAGTTCAGTGTGACAGTGAACACACTGGAGTGTCCAAAGGCTATGCAGGCTGTCGATGATATAATTTTTCCCCTGTATGAAAAGTAAGGAAGAGGAGGGAAAAATGGTCTTGACCATTATGAAGCCTAGTGTCCAAACAGATTATGCATTTATGGAATCCCTTAAAAAGATAAACCAGCGTATATCTGCATGTCAGAATTGTCACAGCCAAGCCCCATGCCAAAAATTGATAATAAAGGGTACTGAAAGCAGAAGTCCTTGTGGATTTTCCTCCTGTTGGACCAAGATTTTTTTTCTTTCAGATTATTACAACTCCTACACTTGAATTTGTTACTAGAAGAGGCTAGAAGAGGATCTAGCAAAAACACCCTGATATGCAGGAGCAATTAAGGGAACTCTATAATTCTGATGACAATTCTAAAAATGTAATGGGAAGGTGTGAATTCACATGGACTGGGCTCTCTGTGCCAAGCTCTGTGCTAGGACCTTTACATAGGTTTTCTTATTTAACGTTTATAACCTATGATGTCAGTATTCTGAGCACGATTTTCCAGATGAGGAAGTTGAAACTCTTCTGCATTTAAGGAACTTGCTCAAGGGGGCAATACCATAAAGTGGTGTTTATTTATTCAAAATACATTTACTGTACTCAAATAATACTGCCTGGCACTGGACTAGATGCTGGTGATATAA